CAGGTTTCTGATATCGCATCAGTGGACAGGCAGCACGCACTGTATTAAGTAAGTGTAAAAGAACTTAAAATACAGCTCCGATTCAGCTGAGCAATGAACTGGGGTGGGGGTTGACATTCCCCACCCCTCATAACGACGGCAAAATCTGGGCAAAGTTGAAAGTTGCAAGATTCCAGCCAAACAATTGTCCTTGCTTGGGTAAATATCATCCGAAGAGACAAATGTGAGTGAGTTACAGAGGTAAGAAAATGGCCTTGGCAGATGACATATTTAAGAAGGATATTGCTAGTGAAGCTAATTTTTGGGAGGGGGGAGTAGTGGTGGTTAAGGAATAAAAGCTTCGGTTGAAAATAGCCGGGTCTTACAGCAAATCTAATGTGCAACAGAATCTTTGACTGCTGCTGAGTTTATGGCAACTAAGGTCTTTGAATGTATCATTGTAGAAATTGCTTTTATGTAGAAATGACCAGGTGAGGAGCGGAGAGGTTGATTGGGTGTGCAGTTAAAGGGAAATTGGGGCTCCATTGTCTTTCCTGAATGCTTATGTAAATATCTCTCTTCCCCGGGATGACCCTGGCTTGTCTTTGACATCTGCTGCTACTTTTTGGTACCATTTGCTCGTCTCTGTGTTTACGTTATGGTGCCTCACTGTAGCTTGATCAGACTTGAGTGTTGGTTAGAGAGCACAACCAGGTAAAGATGAGAGACTTTGTAAGTGTGTGACTTTGCAATCAAATTGCCCAGTAATTTAGGAGAAGTGTACAAATGGGTATTTATTTACATGCCAGACCTCTGCCTTTTGAATAGCAGCCTCGGTATTAGGTTAATAGATTTCAACATGCACGTTTGGATTGCGGGAGCTTTCGAGTATGTTGTAGTTCCATTTATGCTGAGTTTTTAATGTCAAAATATTTTTAGATGCCCATTCTTCAGTTTAAGCCTGCATTTACCTCATAGTTTTACTATTCATGTGTCAGTGAAGAGAATGCAAAATGGAATGGTAATTCAAGCTAATCTGTTCATTTGGGGAGGATTAGTTTTCCGACCGTAGGTTCACTCGTACAGAAAGGGGCACGTTAAACATGCGAGTCTTTTGTAGTGTTGGGACTATTTTTATGTACATGGGGAACTACCTACAGCTGCTGCTACATGTTTTTCTTCACAGTAATTATTTGATTAGGCGTTAAGAGAACATGGGGAGGGGTGTCTGGAGCTTCCCAAACGCCTGGGCAATATGGAGGGGTAGAACCTATTTTATGTTATAAGTCAGTGACTTGAACCCTAGAATGTTCGACACCCCAGGGGTGGGGGGATGCAATTTGCCTTAAGGTGATCCAAAGTGAGACCAAGGTTGAAGCTTCCCGTTTATGCCCATCTGCAGTCCGAGCAACGCAAAGGTGGGAAGTGAAGTTTGTGAAACGGCTTTTTAACGGCGGCTCACACCAAAGGGCATCTGTGTTCTTGGAGACTCACCTGTCTGCTCTTGCACTCGCCCCTGTACTTTTCTGAGGCAGTAGGACCATGTTGGGGGCCCAAGGGAGGACAGACTTGCAGACCCCTCCCCCGTGCTCTGGCGAGCCTGGCTCGGGCCCCATGTGTCCCCGCGGTGGGCAGCTTCTCTTGTGACAGCTGCAGGAAGCCACCTGTGCTTGTCCCCCCGCCCCCACCCCCAGGCAGAGGAACCAAATACCATTGGTATGAGGGTTTACATCACGTTCTGCTATTATTACATTTGAGGGGCCTGGAAACCTTGGGCTCGTTAACCTTGGGCTCGGAAGCCGGAAGTCAGAAAAGTTTCAGTGAACCTCTCGGAGGACTGGTTCAATATTGGCCCGTCTGGGATGACTGGTTCAGTACTGGCCCGTCTGGAAGTGCTAGAGCAGTCTGTCCCTTCCAACGGCTGCCACATTTGTGTATTGTTTTCACCGCCCAGAAATATTTTCCATGTTAAAAAGAAAACCCCACCAGTCTATGCCATGTCATTTAACTCTTTTGTAAGAACAGAAAAACCACATACATCTAAATGCCAAGCCCTGGGCCGAATCAGTCATTTGAATTTAAGCCCTGGCAGGGCTTGTAGGAAACTCAATTGCTTCCATTGGAAGGGCCAGGAAATTGATTTGGAAAATAAATAAATTTGAGGAATTCCCGAACAGTGGCAGCATGGAATGAATAAGAGAAAAAGGAAGGTACAGACAGATCTTGTTACCAGTCTTCAATGGTAACAGAATTGCCAGAATCAACTTCCTCAGACATGGCTCACCCGGAGTCCCCACCGCCCAGTGACTGCTGACCGGTCTAGGTGGTCACGGCGTACAAGCGAGTCTGAAGGCTGGCGTCCAGGGCTGTCCACCACGGTGCCTGCCCAGCCTGCCCTCTCACTGGGACCTCCTTCCCTAGAGCATCCGTGGCTGCCCTCGGGTACTAACTACTGTGGCCTGGCCTCGCCAGGAAGCTTCTAGGCCTTTCTCTTGCTGTTGTGTCTGTCCAGAAGCCTTCATTCTCAGCTCTGCTTGGTAAGACCCAGCTCCAATTCCAGTTCCTCCATAAAACCGTACAGATCTCCGCCCTGCCCCCGCCCTCATTAGAATGATTTTCCATCTTCCCGTGTTCCCATAAGTTTCTTTGTCTTCAGTTAAAGCACCGACTTCCCTGTGTTAAGATTAGTTGTATCTCTTCTTAACTGAGATGTAAGCATGTCAGAGACCGGGGACCGTGGCTTCCGCACTCCTGCAGCTTTGGCCGTACCTGGAACAGTGCGTCGAACTGTTGCGTTTCATTGACTTCGTGAAGACTTGGAAAGCTACACGTCATTGCAGTCGTCAGAAGCTCATGCTCTGAGCTTCATGAGACTCTGTGAGATGCCGCAGCCCCGAGCACCTGCACCAATTCAGCCACTTCCAGGGGCTTCCAAACTTCCACCTGTTTGGCGTCATCTAAACACAGAACCAAGGGAATGGCTGGGGTTTTTTTCCATATTCATAGTGCCATGAGATTTTAGAACCAAAAAGAACCCTGTGGAGCTGAACTCCTCAAACTACAGAGGAGAGAATTGTGAACCTGAACTAAGTGACTTTACCATGGCCACACGTTGGTTAGTGACCCAGGTGTGGGGATATGGCCTGTAACATCTGTACATGGTCCTGTCTCCTGAGCCTCCTGACCGAGGCCTTGGGCTCCACTTAAGATACTGCAGTCAGCTGGTGCGTTCGGCCCCGTGTTGGGATTGGCTGGCTTTCTGTATGTAAACACTGTCCTGAGACAACAGTCCCATTAAAATCTCTGCTGATGTCTCTGGGGTAGAATTAAAATCAAAAGTGGACTGAGAGTTGAACTCGGGGTGGGGGTGGGGGGACTGGGGGCAATGCTAATGGTTCATTAGCCATCGCCTCACTGAGGTTATGGCAGCTGCTGAATTCAGTCAAGTTCAGACCCTTAAAAAGAGTGGAAAAAAGAAAGCACATACTTTCCAGAGCCTGGGCACCGCACAGCTGGGCCAGCTGGGCGCAGCACCGTGGCAGAAAGATCTCTTCAGTCTCAGAAATATGAGCCCCGAGCTTGCACATGGGGAGGGGACTGCAGCCGCAAGGGGACCTGATTTGGCGTTACGTTTCTGGGCTTGTGGAGGCCTGCAGTTGCATTAGACTCGGCTCCTATGGGAAGCCCACGAGTCTAATTTCTTTTCTAAAGAAAGAACCAGCCCTCCAAACCGACAAGCGGAACTGTGTGTGTGTGTGTGTGTGTGTGTGTGCGCGCGCGCGCGCATGTGTGTGTTTAAAGGGCCACGTCTGAGGTCGACAGGCTTTCTAAGAGGAGCGCTTGGTTTTCTGTATGAAAGTGTGCTTCCTCTTGTCCAGAGTTAGCCTGTGAAGGGAATAAAGCACAATTCAGGTTTCCGAGTTGGAAGCCTGATTAATCTCTCTGCCAGTTACATATGGAAATAAATTAGTAAATGGCCCATCTGGGACGAGACTACTGCAGAGATGATAAATGATCGCCGCCGCGCACGTCTGTGTTGCCGAAGACTGAGCAGTGATCCCCTGGTGCTGCCGAGAGATAACTGGATGCTGTGTCCTGGTCGGAGGAATGAAATTTGAAAAAAAAATCACAAGGAAAAAATCTACTGTGAAATGTTTCATGGGAGAGTGCTTCGGCTGATGCCAAGTGTGTTCCTTAGAAGTGCGGTGTCTGCAAATATTTAAAAGGACTCTCAAGGGCAAAAGAAACATTGTACTTTTATATTTTCAAAGGCCAATATAGTAACAAGTATTAATTAGTCTCCAGATGTCTCAATGAGTAGGATCATTCTATACCTCTGTGTGGCATTGCAACTTTATAATTTTCATAGCAACTTTATGTCTATTTTCTTATTTAAGTTTCAAAGATGTTAGGGCAAGTCCGTGCCTCTATTTCTTGATTTGTGAGACACTAAGGTTTAGTGGGTGAGTGCCTTCTGCCCGTGATGACTCCGGAGGCCAGACGGGAGCTGGGATAAGCTACCAGGTATCACCAGCGCTGAGTCCAGCTTCACTTCATCAGAGCCTGTGTGACGTCTGAAACACCTTCCGTATCCCGTCCCTCATGGGGCAGCATCAGGCAGGAAAGTGTTCTCTTTCTGTTAGGTTCCTAGAAACTAAAGCCATACCTTTCCAAAGATTTATTTATTTATGCGCTTTTAAACAGAGGGGAAGGGCGGGGGGAAAGGGAGGGAGAGAAACGTCAGCGTGTAGTTGCCTCTTGCACGCCCACACTGGGGAGCTGGCCTGCAACCCAGGAATGTGCCCTGACTGGGAATTGAACCTGTAACCTTTTGGTTCACAGGCCAGCGCTCAATCCACTGAGCCATTCCAGCCAGGGCTAAAGCCATACCTTCTTGATTGGGAAAATAATTTTTTCTCTACTTGGAGATCTTAAGTATCAGTTGAACTCGTTTTTTTAAAAAAATTACTTAAAAATTTTAATTGAAATATAATTAAAATATAGCATTATATTAGTTTTCAGTACATGACCCAATGATATGATATTTGTACATATTACAAAATAATCACAGCAATACGTCTAGTTAACATTTGTCATCTTACAAAGTTACAATTTTTTGTGTGTGATAAGAGCTTTTAAGATTTGCCCGCTTAGCAACTTTTAAATATGCAACAGAGTATTATGAATCCTGGTCATCATGCTGTACATTACATCCCCATGACTTATTTTATAACTAGAAGTCTGTACCTACCAGCTACACTTGTCCAATCCTCCTCTCCAACCCTTTAAATTTTTCCTGTGACTAAGGCACATAAAGCTATTTATGTTATTTTATAAAGCTAAAGCCACAGATGTCCTCAGGGGCTTTTTAGGTATGGTAAGATTCTGCCCCTTGCAGATGGCCTGAGGCTACTGTAGCATCCACATCCTGGTGCCTCCTTCACAATGTTCTTTTGTGGGTTCCTCCTGGGCAAACCTGCAGCAGTTAATCCTTGAAGCAGCTGAGATGCTCCCCTCTAGAAAATGCAGTACAAAAAAAAATACAGAAAAGCAAACTGGGTTTAGAAATCTGGGAGTCACCTGGTTTATTAGATGTCAGTTTCTAAACAAAAGCAATGGATGCTGCTGGATAGTTTTCACACGAGAAAGAGGCCCCAGGGCCCCAGCATTTACCTGTCTATCCTTGAAAGTAACCTCGTCTCCCCTGGATCACCTTCAAGGGTCTCCGGTATCAGCCAGACCCGGCTATTCCATGCACTTGAATAACCTTCATGCTTGCTCGCTTCTGGGCCTTTGCTTGAGCAATTGCTTGGTCTTCCTGGTCAAAATCCTGTTCAAATCTCAACACCCATTAGTGTTGTTATTGTGTTGAGACTTTCTCTTACCTGCCCCTACTTCAACCCCACCTCAAACACCTGTCTCCTCTGAAGCTGTCTGGCTGTTGTTACAGGAGATAACACAGTGCGTCTGCATTTGAGTGGCCTACGTACGTGTTTTGTCTCCCATAATGCACAACACACTTCTCGGAGGTGGCGATTTCATCCTCTTCTCTCTCTGGCCCTTCCGTCTTCCTTCCAATTCCCAGTGCAGTACTCTGCCCTTAACTGAAATGTAACACGCATTAGATGAAGGTAATTTTGTTTGACAACAACAGACTCGATGTCTTTGGATGGGCAGATAAAGACCTGGAGTGTATGAGAATCACTTGAAGGGCTTGTTAGAACAGATCCCTGGACCCCCCACCCCCACTCCAAATATTCAGAGTCAGGTGGTCTTGGGTGGGAGCCAAGAATTTGCATGTCTCACCAACTCATGGGTATCATTCATGCTGCTCTTCCAGGGACCACCATTGGAGAACCACTGATTTAATGAGTTTATTTCCTAACATGCTCACATGAAAGCTTGTCGTGTAGCAGCATTGTTTTTACTAGACAGACTACTGATCTGCCTTCCTTGAGGCAGAGGCTAGAAAAGTTATCTTCCATCAAATTATGATGCAAACCATCTCATGTACCAACTTTCCTCTTATGCAAGATTATTGGTTAACTGTGGCTCAGAAACCTGCAGGCCCTCCAGTGAGCTTTTTAGCTCAGTGGGATCTTTCTCCCCAGGAGCAGAGCCTGGGTCATTTTATTTTACAACAACAGAACAGGGAGTCACTGGCGTCACAGCCCATCTCCCTGTGTTTCCTGTGGGTCAAGGCTCGTCCGCGTGGTGGCACACTGGCCTTGGATGCTCGTTGGTGCCCTGACGTTTCTCCTTTACATAAACAAGCGTTTTGGTGGCAACGCCAGCAAAATAAAAGGATCTCGCAAATGTCTCAGTAGCCGTGGTGGTAAAATAAGGTAATCTCGCAATGTCTGTGGCGCGTATTTTCAAATGTCTGAGTCCTCGGGTGCCCCGCGAGGCGGTTTCAAGAACACTCCACCGTGAAAGACCCGGGGCTTCAACAGCTTCCCGAGCAGTCAGGCGGTGCTGTTGCAAGAGACTCTCTCCCTGAAGTGTGTCATCGTGTAGAGTAAGGCGAGAGGGACAGCCATTGTGGTTGAGAGGGGCCTCTCCCTTCCTCTGCTCTAATCCCGTCTTCCTTCTGCTCCTCTCCAGCAGCCACTAGAAGCATCGTCTCCTGGAAGGCCAGAGCTCTTGCGAGAATGGAGGCTTCTCGGTCCTTTCTGTGACGGAGCAATGCTGACCTCGGTTTCCTGGACCCATTCTGACTCAGGTAACCACACTCTGCCTCCCCAAGCTCGCTCACACCTCACCGACACTGCACGGAGTAAACGAAATGCCAAAGCTATATTTAAATGCAGAGGCCAAATGGATTGTTTTTCCATCTGTCGGAATCCTTCTTCCCCCCACTCTTCTTAATGATCAAGATATGCAGCTGATCAGGACTGACAATGTGGTCAATCCAATTTAGGTATTAAGAGAATGAAAACATTGAATCATGTCTTCATTGAAAGTTTGGGGTGGGGGGTGTCACAGACACACAAAGCAAAAGGAACGTCGCTGGAAGTTTTCAAATGGAAACTAGATTCTACTGTAGTTCCTTTAAATCACTTCATCGTTTTCTTTCTCGTAAGACCCTGTTTTACGTGAACTGATCTTTCTAATGCCGTAGCTTTTCACTGAGGACAGTAAAGTATTGCCGAGTATCAGTTGGTTATGTGTTCTTGGGACAGATGGGGACACAATAATGCAAGGCGTGGAACTCCTCCTGGAGCTCCCAGTGTAGCGAAAGATCCAGAATCTACTCATGAGGAGGTGGTGGATGGCGGCGCCCCCTGGGGCTGGGGCTAGGCACTGACGGTAGCTCCGTGGTTCCGGGAATTTAGAGACATTTAGGATTGGGATTGAATTCTTGGGAAAGGGAGGGCCCCAGGTGGCCTTGGTCACTGTGGATCATTAGTCCTGGAGGCAGGAAGAGGAGTGGCATGGGGCTGTGTGGGCAGATGGGAGTGCGCTGGCTGTGAACCCAGGCAGCGAGGGCCCTGGCTGCCTGGACCAGGACCCTGATTCTTCATCATGGCCTGAGCTGTGCTCCCCCAAGAGCCTGGGCCCCTCGAGGTTTCCCTGAGGAAACCCCACCTCACCTGTTACAGTGGGGCCTTGGCTGGCAGCTTCCTTTAGAGACAGTGGTCATTGTAGCCCCAGCCCTGGCTTGCCTGCCACTTAGCTGGACTTTTCTGCTTCATTGTGTCTGTCCATGCCCAGACTCTGCCTGCCTACCTGATTATTTAGTCTTCTCTTACACACCTGCACCCTTCTTCCCCTCCAAGCTCTGCCTGCTGGGTACGGCTTGAAAAGGCCTTGGGATGAACCAGGGACGGTGCGAGGTCAGTACCCGGTGATTCACACGGTGCTAGTCTGAGCTGAAAGGTGGAATGGACAGGTAGGGAGCATAAGCCAAGAACACAAGTTTTTTAAGTTGCTGCTGAGAGTGTTTCTAGAGAGTTCTGAAAGCCGGAAGTCAGAGACAGCTCAGGGCTGAGTAAGGAGTCACAGTCAGGGATGGGGAGCCAGATGCCCTGATTGGCTTTGGGGTGGCCAAGTTACAGCCTCCTTCCAGCGTTGCTTTTGGATAAGGCAGTGGCGGCCTTTGCTGCCCTGGCTCTTGAAAGTACCATTGAGACTTACATGCTGAGGCTCCTGTCCTTCCTGCCGGGCCTGCCCTAGCCACGCTCCCCCTGCTTCGTGTGCTTGGGGCTCTGGCGTCCAGGTTCCACTTACCTAGGAGTCTGGGCCTTCCTGGAAGCAGAGTCTTGCAGGACTGGCCACCAGGGCGACTGTCTTGTGGCCAATGTTTCGAGACTACAGGCCTCCTGCATCTTGAGACACCTACATCTTAACAGGTGGCTTCCTGGTTGCCGCAACATGTGAAGAAAGAAAAACAGTCAAAAGCACACACTCATTCTTAAGTATCTTAGACTAGAAATGACCCCAACCAATTCCACACCCATAGCCCATTGGCCAGAATTGGTCACATGACCCTCTCTCGCTGCCAGGAGGCTGGGAAGTAGGGTGGAGTGCGGGAATGCTCGGGGTGGTCCCCACTGCCCCCACAGTGCCTGTCACTGTGGGAAAACCTACACTTTCTCTGTGCTTTGGTTGGCTCATTATTAAAGGGTAATGAACCCAGCCCTGTATTTTTTCACACAATTTATTAAATGTGCAAATATTTGAAAGAGCTTTAAAAGGTACCATGTGTAGTAAATTATCTAAGATAAAATGATCACTTAATTTCTTTATCGCATCTTGAATGGTGATGGCCTGGAGTCAGGGCGGTCACACACGCCCTGGGACCAGCCTAGTGCTCCCTGTTGACCCAGGTGGATTGCCATGCAGTCCTGCCCCCCAGAAGTATCGGGGTGTAGACAGTAAATCATGTGATCTCCCCAGCTTGACACCACTCGTCATCCAGGAGATTCTTGCTACCTCCTGTTTACTGAGCTTTTCCTAAACGTCAGGCACTGTCCTCAGCTTCTGCCTCCAGGACTCCATTTAATCCCCAAACAAACCCAGGAGGGTTTTAAGATGAGGTAACAGATGCAGGAAGGGTTGAATTGCCCGTGATCACGCAGCTGGCAAGTGGCCGCGCTTTGCTCTGAACCTGGGTCTGTCTGGTGCTGCGCTCTTGGCTGCCCTGCAGGGCTGCCTCACTCATCCTTGACGGTGTGGGGACCCACCTTTTGGATACTGCCTTGGGGCTCTGCTCCCAGACCTCAAGCTGGTAGAAAGTTACAGCCCTGAGCAGTGAGTTTAGCCCCTTATGACCCCGACAAGCAGTCAAGATACAGGAGGATCACTTTGTGAGTCTCCAGAACCAGCAAGTAGCGGGACCAGGGCTGGCGAGCTTGTCTCCTGACTTCCTGTCAGCCCCCCTCCCTTCCCCACTACCCTGGCGTGGACATGGGCCGCCTGCTTTAAAACTGGGCCCTGCGTCGTGTGTAGGGAGAAGAGACTGTCTTTTGAAATCCAGGGTGGGGTTGGGCTCTAGCCAGTGAGGACTCGCCGTGTGCTGTGCAGGGGTCCAAACAGGCACCCTACCAACACAAACAGCTCCGAGAGCCCGAGCTCTGTTTTCAGGAAGTGTATTTACAAATTTGTTTATTTAAAAAAAAAGCTGGACCACAACCAAAGACCAGTTTGCTTGCAGAATAATATCAAACAAAACCCCATCTACTCCCAAGCTGGTATTAATTTCCCTCGTTCCTGGCCTGGCCTTCCTACTCAGTGTTCAAAACCGAACCCATGATATCAAAGGGAAGAGTCTCTGAAAAATGAACCAAATGCGGCGGAGTCTCTATTGCACTGTGTGCTTCAAGAACCCCCGCCCCCCCTCAAATTACATACGTGGTTTCTAAATGTACAAAGAAAACGAAAGGAATTCCATTATGAAAGAAAAATTAGATGGAAATTTCTAATTCCATCTCACAAACAATATAGGAATTACTTTAAAATATTCTGCTTTAAGCATGCATTTAATTTGTGCTCTGGGAACCACATAATGTTGCTAAGATAAAGCATTCTAATAATGATTTATGTAAATTTATTTGTACAAAGTAATGGTGTAGTTGCCTATAGCAAATTGCTTGGAATATGAAATGATATTTATGAAGTCTTTTTTTTGTCCTCCGAATGGATACAATGGAGAAAGTGAGAGACTCCGGAAGGGAAAGAAATCCACGTTCAAAACGCACCGTGGTGCCTCCAGACAGCTGGACGGGTTAGAGGGTGTGCAAATGGTCGGCAGCTCAGTTCAGTGTGTCGTCCTGGGATGTGCTCGTTATGAAAGCCATTTTAAATGCCACACGCAGAGTGGGCGTGTTCGATTCTCAGAAGGCTAGAACCCTCTATCCTCGTGACCATGAGCTGCTCCGGTGCCAGAGCTCCTTCAGGACAGCCAGTGACAGATGGCTTGTTCTCATGGTGCCCCGGTGGACGGGGTGCTTCCAATATGGGGTATGTGGAGTCCAAGTGCAATTGAAAACAGGGCCACAGACATCAGTTCCCAGGTACTTTAATGCAAAGGAAGTTATGCTTGAGCCATCAAGGGGACCCAAATGTTAACAAGCAAAACAAAAAACCCACCCAAAGACTGACTCATAGACCCGCAGGGAGTTTTCCAACGGGCTGCCCAGGTAGAGCCTCTGATAATGGCTCTAGGTGTTTCCCGAAAACGTTTGAGCTGAGCGGAAATCCCCACATATGTCACAGATCGCGCTTTGGCCTTGTGAGTGCCTCCTATTTGCTGTAACCTGTACTGTTTGGAAATGGCAAGGTGTTAACACCTTAGTTTCCGGAGGCATTACTTTTCTTTTCCTCAAAATATTTTTGCTGTCTTACTCGGTCACCACGATCATTTTCGGGAGATCGCGTGAGAGTTTGTATTCGGTACATAGGGAAACTGAGAGTCACAGAAGTCACCAAGCAAGATGTCACAGAATGGAGGGGACAGCTTCCCTGTTAGCATTTGTCCTATTGCCACCACAAACTACAGCAGATGAAAGAAATTTGTGAATTCCGAGGCTCTTGCTTTATTTAAAACAAACTCAGCATTTTGGTCCCTCATAAGCCATTCTGGATTGGCACCAGCTACCCTGAGGGAAATGGGCTTGTCTAATGGGACAGAATGACTCTGCAGTTTGACTGTGGGCCGCAGCGGGCCAAGGCCGCAGGGCTGAAGTTGGAGCTCTGGGGGAGGGGCGGAAAGCCTGAGCAGGACTGCAGAGCAGAGGGAAAACAAGGCTGGCTTCAGGGGAAGAGGGCATGGCCTGGGTGTTCAGCAGAGCCCTGTCCACAGGGCATGCCGTGGAAGCGTGGCCTCCGGCAGGGTTGGTTTTGGTGCATGGCCCAGGATCCCTGGGGTGAGGCACTGGATGTGCGGGGTGGAGTATAAGCCCCACTTTCAGATTCCAGTCCTCCTCCTTTCTAGCTGAATGACTTCAAGTGTGATTTCTGACCTCTGGATTCCTGGATAATATGTAAGGTGCCCAAGCCTCCATTTCCCCATCTGTAAAATGGGGGCGATATGAATTTACCATCTAGAAATGGTATAAAATAATTCTCAGAAAATACTTGACACAGTGCTTGGCAGATAGTAAACACTCACGGTAGCTGTTAAAATGATAATAATGGTTATTCCCTAAGAATCTATGGTCCTGACTGATAATGGGAAGTGAAATTGAAACCCATTTTTATTTCATTGAGGATTAATCTAAAACTTTTCGAAATCAGTTCCTGGGTACCCAGTGATGACAAGATAGCCATGAATTCATTTATTTGTCCATTCAACCAACAGCTCCTGATGTCCAGGGGCCTTTGCCAGCTGTTTGTGAGGGAGGAGTAGGCTGGACACAGAGTTCTGGGTAAGGGTGATTTTTGCACGTGGCAAGTAGGCACCACGCAGGCCGCTTTAATGTAATGGTCTTTGTCTTCTGAGAATTCAGAAATTAAACTGGTCCGAATCACTAGCTGTTGCTGAAAGCGCTGGTTCTGGCCCACACTCTGCAAATCGGTTTCCTTCACAACAGTCGTCTGGGCTGGCTATGGAGCAGGTTTGTGTCAGGATGAATGGATGGACCGTCTGTGGTCATTCGCTTCTTCTGCCTGCACAAGAAAGCACTCACGTTCTTTGCACACGTGTTCTTGGCCATTGTAGGTCAGGTGCCTGGGCCAAAAGTATGAATACGCCCTTTTCTTAGAATTCATTTCCATGAAGAATGTATATATACACTGCTTTCTTATCTAGGCTTAAAATGAATACAAGGTAAAGCATGTTGACTTTTTAAAATTTTTTTGAGACGGCTATATAGTAATGTCACTTTAGAAAGGGTGTTTCCCAGAAATTTCTCTGAAGGAAGATAAGGAAATGTGAAATGTTCTCAAGTGGAAAGAGAGAATCAGCAATAATTCTCCGATTCTGGATCCAGTCTGGTCAAGTTCATGGGCCTCCTGTGGGGAAGGCAGGGCTTCCTGAGGTGTGCCGCCAGAGTGTAGAGCACGATGCGGGTGGGGGTGGGGGTGGGGTGACCAGACAGCTGCGCACAAGTGAGTGTTCAAACATGACCTTTTCCCCAGTCCAAGGCAAAGAAGAAAATAAGCACGAGATAGTTCAATATCCTTACTTGGCAAAATAAGAAGTTGGCCATCTACACTTGTTCCCGAAACTATTTTTGAAATTTTATGGCAGTGCGAACTCACGATCTGGGAACTGGCCAGAGTGGTGCTCTGGCCCCTTCTTTGCGCAGGGTCACCTGCCTGTCTTCCTGCTGGGCTCCGGCTTCTGCTGACTGGAGGTCCGCCTCATTAAAAAGGAGGTGAGCCAGTGTTAAAGGCATCACAGCAATTAAAACATTTTTTTTCTGATTTAAGGAGGGAAAACAAGCATTTGAAAAGATGAGCGGTCATCTGCCCATAGTACTCCAGGTTGAGAACCCACAGTCAGCCCTGGCTGGGTAACTCAGTTGGTTAGAGCATCGTCTTGATATTCCAAGTTTGCAGGTTTGATTCCCGGTCAGGACATGCACAAGCGTCAACCAATGAATGCATAAATAAGTGGAAAAACAAATCGTCGTTTCTCTTTCTCTCTCTCGCTAAAAATAAATTAAAAAAAAAAAAGAACACAAGGCTACACACTGATCTCCTGGCAGAAGTCTGGCTGATCCAGCGCCTGCCAAGGCAGAGGGCCAGCTGTAGCGTGCCGACTGCTTCCCTGTAGTGGGTATATTTCTGTGTCCCCAGTTTGTGTTACTCTCACTCTGGTGTGTGCGTGTGAACTCTTACCTGGGTCTGTTAGCATTAACCAGGGACGGAGTTTTTCGGGTCCCAACTCATACTGTCCCCTGAGCTCGGAGCTCGGTGACCAGGGGGGCGACACAGCACCGTGGGCGTGCTCTGGTGAACAGCGGAGAAGCAGCTCGGAGGCAGGACTCGCACCCGGAGCGGCGGCCCCCCGGGCAGACCGGGGAGGAGCAGCTGTTCCGAAGTCGGTGCCCCTTGAAAGGGAAGGCCACCCAGTCCGGCCTCGTTAATGTGGAAAAGGCACTGGGTCACCCCCGGCCCAGCAAACGGCCCCCGAACTGCTGCACTTTGGCCCGCTTCTCGGACCCTCGCAGAGCGTGTGCCTGTGAGGTGAGCACGTCTGACCGCAAGCAGGCCAGGTCTCCACTTCGGTGTCCCTTTGTTCTTGTTAGAAGCCGAGGGTACTTGTCTGCCATTGGCTTTTTCCCTTGAGTAGCAGAGCCTACCATTGCCTCACACATAACACATGGTTTTCCAGGTGAACTGAAGAGGCGGGAAATTGGTTGTAGTAGCGACTGGAAGGTCAAAATTACTCACCAGTTAGAGTTTCACGGGCCTGCCCTGTGGTTAGCTGGGTCCGGGGAAGGGCGCCTCCCCTGAATCGGCCTTGGTGCCATGGTGGTAAAGCGGGTGGTGCTGAGTTCTGATTGAGGGCTGTATGGTTTCTGGAGAGTCCATCAGGGTCCCTGCAAGGTAAACAAGGGGACGGCTGCTCTTTTACAGAGTGGTGTGTGGCTGTGTGATAGGTAGGTAGGTGCTTGATAAAAGCTTCTAAATAGTGACAGCCTATTATTATTATTATTATTATTATTATTATTATTGCATTTCACTTTATCCCTCATGTGAATGTACATGGAACATTATACTTAGCTACAAGAATCTATTGTTCTATATATGTATATTTATGTAGTATATGTATATAAACATATGTCTGTATGTATATGCATGTATGTATAAATAATGTCGTTTGATTCTGGGACAGTTTATAGGAGTCACCGTTTTTCTTAAGATGTGGAATTATCTAAGTCGCCGCCATTGCAACTAGTTCCACTTCTTTATCACTTGGCCTCCAGGTCTTTTTT